ATTTTGAAAATTATTTGATATATATCGCAATTAATCTTATTTTTACGTAAAATAACTTTAATGTACTGATTTATAATAATATAATTTATGATAATCTTTTAGATTGGACTATTCCATCTCTGATGTATACTATAAACAGCACTGTAACAAATTAAAAAAAAAGAAAATCTGGGATCTGTTAAATAATACACATTAAATTTATAAGTAAAGATATAATAGTAATAATTTGACCTGTACTAGATATTTACATAGCATCAAGGAATGATTTTAAATTACATAAATGAAATAAATTTATTACATTACTTGATATTACTAATAATAATAATGCTTTTATGCTTCTTAATTATTTACTGTCACCATTAATAATACATATGCTTTCCATTTTCCACTTCTGTAAGATGAATTCTCTAGTATTTACAACTCTTACAGAGACTTCTACACGCGCTGCTAAATCATACGTTCCAGGGGCTGGAAGTACAGCTTGTAATTTTACAGTATTGCTGGTAAGTGGTCCTATATGAGAAGAAATTGCCGAATGACATGCGTATCTATAAAATGTAGAAGCTTGTGGAGAATATAACTGCGATTTTATATTTGGAAGATGTGATCCACTGAAAGAAAGAATAAAATAATTAAAATATCTGTGAAATTTGTGTTTATATAATTTTGAATATAGTTTAGTGTGTGATTTACCTGCTAGTACCTATTGTATTTACTTTAATATCGATTTGTGACTCTAAATGATTCTGTATGTACATCATTACTGGAACGAAACACAGACGGTTTTGATTGAAATTATGAGTGATTTGTCTATCGTGACTTAATGAAAAAGATACGACGTTCTTCAAAAATTCCGTTTCTAAAAGTTGTTCTTTACTAGTTACAGTTAACCAATCGGGTACATTTTTATCCGGCCCAAATATTTTCAAGCGTGCGCCATACTCATTGGGCTCAACTTGAATTTCTTTGGGATGTTTATATGTTTTATTCAAATATTCAAGGTCAAGATGATGTTGGCCAATCGCTTGTCTAGAAATAGTACCACCTTCAACCACCTTTGCTTGCCATTGAAGAATTAAAGTAGAATGTAAGGACACAGCGGTTGATAGATGTGACTGTTCTATATTTTGTGACAATCGTTGAAATTGTTGTTGCATTTCAACCGAATTTTCATTTACATCCAATGGTGGAATATGTCTTCTTTGTATAAAACTGATGTAAGGATAATTCACATCTAATGTTGTACTATTAGTTTCTTGAGTTAAGGACACATGAGAAAATACTGACTCGCCCTCGGACTTTTTCCTTAACTTCAGCATTAAATGAAACACTTCTTGAGGTTCTATTTTAATGTCACTTGGAAGGACAGATGAACTGAATACAGACCACATATCGCTTTGAAACAGAACTTTGGACAATATAATTTCGTTCATAATGGAATCATGAACGTGATTTGCATTCTTAACGCAAACAATTAGGTTTAAAGTGGGTGAAACATTTTTAAATAATACACTTCTCGACGCGACTGCACTGATTTGTATGGAATCCAAAACCATGAAATGCCACGTATGTCTGCAAAGTCGATGCCTTACTACACTTTTAGGATCAACGTTCTCGTAGTAAAAAAGTAAGTCTAAACGATGATTTCCTTTTTCATGTGGCGCTCGTATCCATAACGGTATTGTACAAAACTCTCCAACATTTAATGTATCATTATCAAAAGGTAATGAAATTTTTGTTGTCAATTTATTTTTTTTCACTGAATGCTCTGAAATAAGAATCAATGTAAATAATATAAATTAGTGAATTAATTATTTTATAATCTTATACTTAAAAGTTGTATAAAATATATCAAATAAATTTACCTTGTACATTTATATGCTTGTCTCCTAATGAAAACAGTTTTGCATCTGTAGACGCTAAATACACATTTGTCAGTGGTGCATTTCCTACATTCTTTAATTTAACATTTACTTTTTGAATTTCACCACATAATAGTTTTGAAGATAAGTTACTAAAGAAAACCTAAAAGTAAATTTATATAATTAAATAATAGAAATATTAAACTTTTACAAGTAACTGCATTTCAAAGTATTATTTCAAATACCTGCATACATGGTGTTTTTTCAATAACATTCATTTCCAATCTATAATCTACACCATACAAATTTGCACCAGGCTTTTCTTTAACATTTTTTAATTTAGGACCCCTAATTTCAAATAACCTTTTTCCAGAAATAGCTAATGTTGGATTAACAATTGGCATGTCTACTGCAAGTGCTGGATTAGATAAATCATACCCTAAGCCTAACACTTTTAACTCTCCTACTTGTTTTGGTATAAGATACAACATAATATACTGTTTACAAACTGGTTGCAAAATAATTTTTTCTATTGTTTGCGTTTCTACCAATTTTAAATTCTCTGTTGAGTTCATGTCATTTGTAATTTGTTTATCAGCAGAAGTGAACAACCATAATAATCTGATATTAGATAGTGGCAATGGTATATGTAACGGATTATATAATTCAATAAAAAAATGCACTGGTTCGTTCAAAATTGCATTTGGTTTCACACTGTTATTACTTGTTTTGGAATATAATGCAACTAGTGGTTTGAATATCATAGGTGGTGACCCCTGTGCTTCTGTTATTAACATTTCCTCCATTTTTGACCATCTTACATCATCGCATTCTTCAGTATCAAATGAAACATGACTTGCTGGAACACTGTTTTCATAGGGCCTAGCTGTAGGACCATATAATACTTTTATATTATTACTATCTATTAATGGTAAAGGCAAGATAGGAAGCTCGTAACGATTTGCTAAACCTTCCTGTAACAATAACTGTAGAATATAATAGTTAGTGTAAAAGAAATATGGCATACATGAATTGCGAAGTTATCTGTAATTAACAATAACAAATGTAATACATACATTATGGATATGTAAAAATTCACGTAAAAATGTAGCCTGCTGTGGAGCTGCTTGCTTACTCTCAGCATTTAGCAACTTTTCAAATGCTGTAACAGCTTCGCCAACTTGTTTCAATGATGCTGCCTGTCTACCAATAGTAAAATGTATATGATCTTCGGCTAATGACCATCCTTTTCCATCATATACCTAGTAACAGATATATAAATATGGATTACTCTTATTGCTACATTATTGGATTGATGAAAAATCTTGGTGTTTCTTGTACGTGGTTAATAAAAAATTTGTTTTCTTCAAAGCAAATGTTTTCAAATTATTGTAACATGTGTAAAGGACACTTCTTTCTTCGTTTTTATTTAGTTTTAATTTAGTCACCGAAGAGTTGAGAGTTCTTTTTTTCATTTCTTTTTAAAAACTCATCAAAATTTTTGCATCAACCCAATATTTTAATTGATAACTAATTAAAAGTACCTGATACGCCTGTTCGTAACATCGTAACGAATGCTTTCTTTGACCCGCCTTTGAGAATCTGTGACCAGCAAGAACGGCATGAAATGCATATTTGCGCATCATTTTCGGCCCAATAAAACAATAAGCTGCTTGTTCTAATAAAAGTGCTGAACGTAAGTCTGATTCCTCGCTAGTCATGCGAATTAATTGTTTTGCAGCTTCTCCATATAAACTCCTGCCTTTTAAACTTTCGGCACTGAGAAGCGTTGCTCTTGTTGCAAACTGTGGCTGTTTACAACTGTTCAAATAAGTCAATATTGCATCATCCATATATTCAATAGTTTTTCTATTAGTTTCACCTTGCATGAATGCACTTAAAGCAGCCATTTCTAGAGCACCCGCATAATAAAGCCAAGCCTGATCTGCTGCAAAATCTCTTTTTGCACTATGATATGCTTGGTAAGCAAGTGAATAGTGACTGAACATGAAACACAAGTCACCTAAGCGACGCAATTGTAATTCTGGAGATTCTGTTGTGTAACTGAAATCCAAACAAGCTGGATCTTTATATATTTATATATGCAATTTTACAATTTCTTTCTTATCTACTACTATATTACTTAAGATTATTCAAAAGGATGGTGATAAATATTGATAAACAACATACATTACAGCATTTGATGGAGTAGGTCCTGGTATACCAGGCTTATTCGTTCCAAACCATCGTCTTGTTGCACTAAAAAGTGATCTACTGACACCTTTTTTATTTGATATTACATCATTTAGTAGACCAATTTGCTTTTCTACATAAGGTAATAAACTTTTTAAACAGAATTCTGTTATTAATGTTCGTAGTCTTTCTAAATCTTGTGTAGATAATCTAGCACCATGTTGCGTTGTTACATAACTAGGAGAGTCTGCCCAAACATTTACATTTAATGGTGTATTATTAATGGCTTGCCCTTTTGTATGTACAACAGAACTTGGATTTTGTGTCTTCTCGATAGTTGGACTTAAAGGATGAATTGTAACAGAAACAGCTTCTTGACCAACTTCTAAATGCATATTTGCAGACTCAGATATTTCAGGAGAAAAATTAATAGTACTATTTACATCTGGAGAAAGAAGTACAGAATTTTGTGGAGCTACTGGTGTTCCAGCTTGACTTGTCCTAAAACATAGACTTTAAATATGCATTCTTTAAACAATTAAAGGAGCGTGATAAAAATTATACTTTTCTGTATCAGTGGAAACTTCATTAGGCATAGAAGAAACTCCACTAGTATCTGCAGGAGTACGAGGAGAGCTACTTTGTTCACTACCTCCAGATATATCTGAATGCTTCACTAGAAATTGACTCCAAGGATCTGGCAAATGAGTATTGTCATCAATTTGACCTGGTGGTCTTGAATTCATTTGTAATAAAAAACAATTGTTAGCACCATAAACATTTTTCATTTCTGTAAAAACTACTTCAGCCCTACAAAAATTGCAAATGATTACTTAAAATTCATAGCATTTAACATACAAAAAATTAATAAAATAAAAGCATAAATACTTGTTCTTATCATCTTGTACAATATCATGTACTAGAATGTAATATCTAAGTGTATTATTATTAAACCATTTTGGCAATTTCCCAGGTATACTCTGATGTAACTGTGCACCCATATTTTGTATTTTCTCCAAAGGATTGTCCTCTGCTGTAGAAACAACTATCATACAAGCAAGAAAATGCTTGGTAAATTCATGATCTGATGGGAATTGAATGCTCAGAAACATTTCTCTCCATGCTTCGAACCAAGAAACTGAGACAGGTATTTCAAGCTCTGTGGTTCCAATTCGGATCAAAGTTGTATGTTCACATATCATTGAACTAACTGCTTCATTCAGCATTTTTTTAGCAACATTTGGTTCTGGTGGATGAGCATTGACATCTTGTATAAAAAGTCGAAGACTTCTAACTGTTACAATGTTTCCCTGCGGATCTTTAAAATGACCTATTAAAATGAAAAGGCATATTAACAGAAAGTACTAAATCACTAAATACAATTACATATCCTACTACAAATGTATCACACTGAAGAAAAACAGGAAGATATTAAATGGATAGTACTTCGTTTAATTAAAATTTTTAATTGCATAAATTTAAATTTACTGATGGATGAAAAAATAATGAAAAATTATCAAAACTCGAAATACGAACTCAAAGATAACCGTAAAATGCTTACCTTCAGTATTTAATTTGCAGAATGGTTGCAGTAGCTCAACGAATGATAAATTGTTTTTTTGACAAGTGGCATCAGCTGCAGTTGAACATACAACAGCGATTTGCGGAGAAAAAGCATTATTTATAAATTCGCGAGGGGTTAACTTACACTGAGCCATGATAATTCCTATAAAGCTCTATTCAGGTGATCGAGGTTACGTATTACTAAGAAATAGAATTATACGACGATAATCATTTTGGATGCTACATTACTATCGTTTATCATCTCAGCAGTTAAGAGGAACCGTACTTTCAACACATGTCGAAAACGTGGTAATAAACATTTCTACCAAACAGCTGTTTTGTGGATATTTACCCGTGAAGGGTAAAAATACATGAAGATGACACATATACATCACAGTATCAGCCGGAAGTGCTTGTAGGTGGATAGAAGCTTGTATATATATTTACTTTCAAACGACATTAGTAAGTAGTTCAGACAGCCATTATTTTGAGTAATTTGCAGTCACTGATTACATTTTGAAGAAAATTTGTATAAACAGTTTTTGTTTTTTTACAAGTATTAAAAGATTATACGGAGGTATAACGTTTAACGTTTCAAAACTTAATAGCGGGGATATTTGGATCAGGGTTTTATTATTTTTAAACAATGACATGTATATCTAGAAGAATTTGTGAGAACATTTCCTTGTTATAGCCCTCTAGAGGCACATTTAATAAACATTACCTTCGAATCGCAGCTTAAGGTTCTTAAGTCTGTGTTCAAATAAAATAAATAAATTCTATTATCCACAAACGGAAAGGGAAATCAGCTGTACTTCCGAAAATCTGACAAATCCGATGGGACTGAAAGTTTGCAAATAGCTTCATTCTGCATAAAAACAATGTTCGTGAAAGGGATTTTTTGTGATGCGAAGATTAAGATGCAAAATTTGGTAAAAAAGTATTTTATCATTTCAGTGTCAATCCCGGTAATTTCTGAAACTTTTATCACAAATGAAGTATAGGATAAACAGTGCAAGCTTATGGAACTCGGTATTACATGTTCTGAATTACCGACTGTGTAAAAAATCAGAGGTTTTGTTCTGCCCTCTACGCCTAGAGAGCGGTCAATAGAAAAACTACACATGACACAAAATGATCGTAATTGACCAAGTAATAAATATGGTAAGCCTGCATCAAACGTATCCGTTACAAATTACCATATTTCAAACTCTCAACGCGTGAAGTTACTCACTGTAGGTACGTAGTTTAAGTGTGTATTCAATACTTTTGATTTTAATTCTTATCGCTTATAGCGCTGTCATGCAAAACCAGCGTAAGTTGATATGACAGGGCGTGACACTAATACAGTAAGGAGGTCCAAGGACCCCCGAGAGCGCGAGACAAAAGTTTACATTGCTTGTACATATATACCTAAGTCTATCCGTATATCCCTTCTGTGCTTTTATGTTCTGATTAGTCTGATATTGCATCGATAGCTTCATTTCGCATAGGAAAATGTTTACGAGAAGGATTTTTTTCAATTTTAAAGTTAAGACGTAAAATTTTGTGAAAGAGCGTTTTACCACAGACGGTCTGCGAGTTCATGAAATTACAGGGAATGACACAAAAATGACAAAACATTTTTTGCGAAATTTTGGATCTTAACTTTCGAATAGACAAAGTTCATTCTCGCAGACATTATTTCCATCTAAAAAAGGGCTGTATGTTAATTTTTAGCTTAATCGTATTTAACAAGTTTTCGGAAGTACAGCCAATAAATGTCCTAAGTTTGTATTTAACCATCTATTTTAAATGTTTTTTTATTTTCAATGTATATACAGAATTGTTCATACACATTTCAGTGAACTACAAAATATGAATATAAATATAGTATTTAAAAATAAAATTTTATGATTTTCGTATCATTCAGGTGAAACGCTACTTAGTTTTACATAAATGTCTACTATTCCAAGAACTCCATGCGATGTAAGTAATATTTTTATTCTGGCATGAAATAAGATACGATATTTATTATTTACATATTGCATAAAAAATATATATACATATATAGAACAAGGAAGAGAAAGGATTTCAAGACGGAGTCACATTATTTCAAGGTGGCTTCCCCCTTTTTGTGAAACATAGCCGCACACAATGCATGGAAGGGGATACGATTGTGTGTCCACAAAATACTCATATGATTTCAAACGCGAACACATTCAGGGAATGTTCGAAAGTGCTTCAGTTTCCCGAAATTTCGTTTCATCCCCGTTGCGATAAACATTTGAGGTTTTTCCAGTGAATTCTGTTCGTGATCCGGTGGATCGTAGTGGCAAATATGATCTATCGATTGTTCCTGACTTTCATGATCTTCACTTATGGATTTTCCGTTGAAGATGTCATGCCATTGATCAACTGCTTGGAAACCCATCCGAACGTAAGCGCAAAAATTCATTAAACATGAATTTAATCCTTTACGGTTTCTTCGACGACCAATTAATTTTCTAGACGAAAGAGAAATTATATTTGCGACGAAAAAAAGCAAAAATTGATTTTGACTTAAAAGAAATTTATGATATTTTTATTTATTTAATTTTGTGATTATTGTGGCATAAGGGGTCAATGTAGAATTGGAAAACATTTAGAAGTGATTTCTTATTTTCGAGAATAATTGACACTACTTTTGATTTTTAATAGAATTATTCTTATCAATTTATAAAAGGATTAGAGTTTATTTTTTGTAAAAGTATTAGAATAGACCTTCTGCGCATCAGGTTTGTGTATCATGTACTGTGTATGTGTGTGAACATAAAACTCGACACAACCATTTAGTGTGTTAAGTTTTATACGGTTTGAAAATGATTATTTTTTCTTTAGTTGATATAAGCTAATATAATGATGAAATGATGTAATAATGAATAGTAGTATAAAAAAGTTAGTTATACGTAAAGATAAGATAAATATCGTGAAGAAGAAACACAATTTTTGATTATTTAATATCTTTTCGATAACCTATTTTTTTGAATAAAGTACGAAATGATTTTTAATTCTGTCAGATGATTTGTGATAACGTTCTTCGCTGCAACCCGAATAATTTTCCATCCGTCAGATACGCACATACTATCGTTTATCATTTGCTAGATCATAATGTATGTGGCAACTGTACAAATATAGACACGTTCAATTCATTAACATTTGACAGAAATTGAAGTCGAAACTGAAAATTCATATTTAATTAATAGAATCGATACGTTTCTTCCAGCAAAAGAATTGTAAATTGCATGGTTTGATATGTCAGTATATGTAAAAAAAATATATATATGTTATATAATCCAATAAACTCCATTTTTATATACAAATTCAGCATTTAAACATTATAAACATTAACTACTTACAATACGAAGATGATACTTCTTTGTTAGTAAACAATTGTAAGCTATGATATGAATCGAATAATAGCCGTTCATAAATTCCATCGAAATTTTATACAAAAGAGCAGTCAATTTCCTTGTCCTTCAGAACAGTTTTCGTAACGGGAGAAGGTCAACTATGTATTTGGAACGCATTGCAGATTCCGATAACGAACTGATCAAGATGGAGTATCATATCCATGAATCGATCAGATTTTTTCAAATTTCGTATATGTTTACCATATATACATGTATCAATATAAGCGTATGAGATCTTGATAAGAATACTTAAAGGTTGAATCGACTTCGAAAACGTGAGAGACCATTCAAGAAATTTTTATCTTATCATTTTGCGTACAGTAAAACTGTATTAATTTTTTTATGTGCTTAATAATAATTTTTGTTTTGTTTTTGTGGATCACTAGTAAATAAATAATTTTGTTATGAAATATAATAAAAATAAAATATTATATTGAGTATCCGATTTGTATAAGAAAATGTATTTAATGGTAACCATATTAAACATTTAATGCTCAGTATTATATGAAGCTAAAAGGACTTAATAGTTGTGCAAAAGTACAAAATATAATTTAGTTTACATGTGTGCCGCTACATAATTATTATACTTCTTATAGTTAACTTTAGAATTAAATATAAACGACTAAAGTCAACAAGTGATAATTACTCAAGATGTAATTCTAAGTTAAAATAATTTACGTGCATGAATGTAATGTACATTATAAGAAAAGATTGTGATATTGTACACTCTGAAGAATGTAAAAATACTCTTATAAATGGATTCAGACATAACAAAATTCTAGTATATTGACTATTGTGTTGTACCTTTCAAGGGTTTGTTATGATGATGTCATTGGCCCTACACCATATAGAAAATAGCTTCAGGTCTATTGTTATTTAAATAAAAGTAAAGTTGTTGGGTCAAGGTGCAAAGATAGCTTCGACTGAAAATGTACCATTATTTAAAAAAAAATAAAGAATTAAATACTTTCATTTTCTTATAGTAATGCAATAAAATATCTAAGTCTAGAATCAATTAATTACTTAATAAATTTTATTCAAATTCAGGTTATCCATAGTAGTTGTTTTCAATATGATTTATTCTCCTAATAATTCCATTAATTCGATCTTCAGTAATAAGTCACAAATTTGAACAACTTACCCTTATAATTTCGATGAATGTGAATATGCATTAGTCTATGAATTAATTAAAATTAATAAAATCAAACAAACATATGCTTTTGTGTTTTTCATAAGGAAGAGAGCAGATACATAAGTAAAATTCCAAAATTTCAGTTAAATTTTAAATAGCTGGTGTAAACTATGTATATGGTTTATATAATCATTCTTTTGACTTTCATAAGAAATTATGGAACTGTTCTGAATAGTGCCCTCTATAAGTTTTCTTTTATTTTTAATGGTTTTAAATGCATTTTACGTAACTGATGGTTAACGATATGAATCTGTCACTCTGATTAGTCATCATCATTATACATTAATTTAAATTGGACTAGATACTTTATACATGATACATCCATACCTATAGTGTCAATTTATATCCTGTACATTTTCTATTTCATATTTCTCATAATTTTTGTACAAATTTCTCAGCATTTATTTTACAGCAATTGTATATATCAACTTGAAATGAAATCTCATGGTATTTAATGCTTTTCAGGAAATGTCACATCTTTGTATCAATTACTTATACGACATTAATCGTAAGTATGTAAAAATAAAATATTTACAGTTTTACTATTATTATTAGATATGTACGCCAGTTTTATCCATTTCGAATAGTAAAGCATAATAGCAATTTTTATAGAAAGAAATTTCTAATAAATATTCAATATTTTAAGAAAATTATAAAACCTCGTGATAAAGATATGGCGATTGTAATATAAGAAATTAGCTATTTGTAATTGTTTATTGATTCTAACAAGAATAAAGTTTAAATCTTACTTAGATTATGTTTCAATAGTTTATCCAGAAGTGAACGAAAACACTGTAGCAAACGTAAGCCTTCATTGTACTGCTGCCAATTTGATGATGATCAAATTCAATTCTGGAATGTATATAATTGAACAAAATGTATCTGAAAACGTTTGGAGACTTGTAAATGTGGTAATAATAACAATAAAATATTAAGAATAATTAGTATCACTAATAACATTTAGAAGAGTATAGTGGGGATAGAAATGTATATTTTAATGTTTTTGTAAGAAAAATTAATTATGAAATTATATTAACAACATAAAGGACTAAATATTTTATAAATAATTATTTTTAGTTTCTATTTCTTTTTTTCTTTTATACGAACACATTAATTGAAAACAAAAACCAGCCATGTTATTGTATACTATACATAGTAACTTTATTTTACAGATCAATGGCAACATGATAATGTTTACAAATTTAACAGCGGGCACTAATTACCGATACCGCTTCTATAAATTAATCAAGAATGGAATTTTGCGGGCAGAAACAACGGATTCGTTTTCAACATACGAAGGTAACACGTGTTTTTTTGCAATTGCTATATGAACATTTAATTTTCTGAACTTGATAGATCTTAATAACAAAAACATACTGACATGATAAGCTTAAATTTCTGAAAATGTATCTAGTTTAATATAAAAATAACGAGTTGGAAGAATTTCGGAGAAATTTTGATTAATATCCAAACAATTATTTTATTTAAAATTTTCAAACAAATATCAGAATAGAACTTTTTTTGTTAATTTGTTCGAATTAAATGATACTAAACGAGAAAGGTAAGTGGTACACCACTTGACTGATTTTTGTAGACGAACCTATATTACTTACCAGCCTTCAATATTTCTTACTTATTCTCAATTTAGTAATTACCTCGTCAGCATACAATTTTCATCATTCTTACAGCTAACCGAAAATAACTACTAAATAAAGGTTTACATGTTACTGATAGAAAACATCAGAGTGAAATTTATTCTTCTGCTGTGAGATGTGTATCTGATTTGGTATCCGTAGAGTCCTTGATTCTATATCGCTGATTCTCATTTCAACAAAGCTGAATGCAAGTCAAAGTGTATTGTATGTCGGCTTGGGATGCTTATTCGATGTGACGTCTGATTTCAATTTTCGTTTAGAATAGAAAAAAAAGTTCGGGAATTTCTTTCCAGATCGAAGAATTCTTCCTTCGATTATTGTCGACTGAACACGGTCAATTATCTTGTTTGTTCTTCTTTTTTTGTTTTTAAGTAAATCAATATAATACATACGATAGATAGGTACTGTTCGGCGGAGAAAAGACGTTCACAGACGATCAGTTAGAGAGATAACGCAGGCCAAATGCACCTATAATATATTTTAACGAAAAGCTAAAGCAAAACGGAAGAGAATTGCATGTTGACCTGAAAAAAATAAATAATCTGTCGTTGAAAGAATCAGCATCATTTTGATTTTAAGATGACGTGTATACTTGTTGAACACAGTTAACTGTGTTATTGGCACATGGCAATAACAAAGGATGAAATCGAGATCGAATGCGATGAAGTGAGATTTAACGATGGAATACGAAATTGGTGGCACTATGAATTTTATTTTCCATCGTTGTATCTTGTTCCGTCGCACTCAGTCTCGCTTCCGTCTTTTCTTACTGCCGTGTGGCAAATAACGGTCACGTGTCGGAAACCGAGGTGACTCAAATATTGTGAATGGAAATACCCCCTTGCCACCCTGACCTTTTAGCATTTAGGACAGCTGACGCACAGTGGCCGATTTGGCCGTTTTAGGCGGCCAAAAGACAATTTCAAAAATTTCGCCTAAGCTGTAAAATTCTTGCTCCACGAGATAATTGAATATGTGAGGAATATGGTACAAATTGTTTTTTTTTTCATTCGTCCACTCATAAACTCGTGTGCTTTATAGAAAGTTCAGAGTTTTCATTGAGTACGATTTGCTCTTGTAATTATTCGAAACATTTTTGTGCGTTTCAAAGAAATTGTCTACACTTTGTTCTAAAATGAAAGTTTCTCAGGTAAATATATACTACATTTTTGATAGTATGTTATTATTTTGTTATGTATCTTTGTGTTATTATTAATACTTAAACGTGATTTATAATCAGTGATATTTCTACAATTGTAATATTAATACAATTGTAATAATTTCTATAACGCGACAAGAAGCGTTCGAATGTCCGGGCACGACTATATTCTCGTACAATTAATATTTATTAACCTATTCTATATTATTACATAATCGATTCCAATCATATATTTCTACCTATTGTGTTATTATTATTTATTATATGCTACATAAGGTAACCAATTCCATACAAATATTCAGTTTTCTATGTATGTGTATATAATTAACAATATTTAATATTTATTCACCTATTATTTGTTTTATAACTGATTTTTAAATATATTGAAAAAATTCAATATATACAGTGAGTCACAGCCAAAATCGTACATCACATATACGAATACGTTTCGTCTCGTGAAAAAGTTCAGGAAGGATATGGGGGAAAAAATATCATGAATCTATATTGTAAATGTATCTATATTTATTATGTAGTAGTATCAAAAGGAA